TTGCATTTATTGTTTTGAATATATTGAACCATCTTTGCATCCCTGGAGTGAAGACTACTTGGTCATGATGTATCATCTTTTTTTTGGGGGGGGGCGGAGGGGGGAGAGTTTTTTTTTGCTATAGGGTGCATGCAGTCACCAGCCAGACTGAGAGAGACAGAGAGACAGAAAGCGAGAAATCACCCCTTGGGGGATGGCCACACCACAATCCCTTCTCCTCCATTCTCCTCTCGGGATCTTGGGCATGCACGCACATGCACCCAGTGTGAGTTTTAAGCCACAGAGTCTGGGACGTGAACCGCGGTCGACTACATGGGAGTCCAGCGACATAGCCATTACACTAACTGCTGGTCCCTGTATCATCTTTTTAATATGTTGTTAAATATGATTTGATATTATCTTGTTGAAAAGTTTTGCATCTGTATTCATCAGATATATTGGCTTGAAATTTTTGTTTTTTGTCATGTCCTTGTCTGGTTTTGGAATTGAGATGATGGAGACTTCATAGAATAAATTCTGGAGGCTTCTTTCCTTTGGAAATTTTAGAAATAGTTTAATGAGAATTGGGATTAGTTCTTTTTTAAAAGTTTTGTAGAATTCAGATGTAAAGGCATCGGGACTTGGGCTCTTCTTTGTTGGGTGACTATCTACTACTGATTCAATCTCATTGCTTGTTATGGGTACATTCAGACTTTCTATTTCTTGTTGGTTCAATCTTGGTAAATTATGCATGTCCAAAAATCTGTCCCTCTCATCTATATTTCCTTGTTTGTTGGAATATAGTCACTCATAGTATTCTCTGATGATATTTTGTATTTCCGTTGTATCCATTATAATATCATCAAATGATAAGAGATACTCATAGTGGGGAAGAGATAGGCAGACAGGGGTTATGAGAACTCTTTCTATTTTCAGCTCAATTTTGTTGTGAACCTAAACTGTTCTAAAAAATAAAATCTACTTAAAACAAAACAAAACAAAACAAATCACCTGTTTCCTTGCTGGATTTGATTTATCTGGTTCCATTCTCTGTTCTTGATTAACCTAGCTAACGGTGTGTTAATTTTGTTTATCTTCTCAGATAAACAGCTTTTGGTTTTGTTTATTTTCTGTATAGTTGTTTCATTCTTTATTTTATTAATTTATGCTTAAATATGTGTTATTTTTTTTCTCCTGAAATATTTTTGAGTATAGTTGTTTCATTCTTTATTTTATTAATTTCTGCTTGAATCTTTGTTATTTTTTTTTCTCCTGAAATATTTTTGAGCTTTTTTTTTTTTTTTCCCAGTAGTGGTGTTGTTTTTCCAGTTCCCTGAGTTGTGTTGTTAGATTGTTTATTTGCCACCTTTCTGCTTTTTCTTGTGGGCACTAATTTCTATGAACTCCCTCTTACAATTGCTTTTGCTGTGTCCAATAGATTGTTTTCATTATCATTGGTTTCTATGAACATTTTTATTTCAGTCTTAATTTCTGCTGTAGTTGTAAAGTCATTCAGGAGTAGGTTGTTTAGTTTCCATATGTTCGTAAATTTTTTAGAGCTCTTTCTGTAGTTGATTTAAAGTTTAATTCCATTGTGTTTGGAAAAGATGCTGGATACAGTTTCTATACATTTGAATTTGTAGATATTTTGCCCTATCATGTGATCAGTCTTCAAAAATGTTCCAAGTGGGGTAAGAAAAATGTATATTTTGTGGTAGTTGAGTGAAATACTCTGTAGATGTCTGTTAAGTCCATTTCATGTATGGTATCATTTAGATCTTCTCATTGTTCATTTTCTGTCTCGATGATCTGTCCAGAAGAGACAGTGGTTGTTGAGGTCCCCTACAATTACCGTGTTGTAGTCTTTCTCCCCCTTGAGATCTAATAGTCCCTCTTTGATACTTCATTGCTGGGTGTGTAGATATTTACAAGCATTATATTTTCTTAGTGAACAAGTCCTTTTAGTACTATATAATGTCCTTTTTTGCATCTTCTTATATCTTTCATCTTAAAATCTATTTCGTCTGATACCAGTATTGCAATTCCAGCCTTTTTTTTTTTTATTTTTGGTTTCCATTTGCATGGAATATATTTTCCCAGCCCTTCACTTTCAATCTATGTATGTCTTTATCAGTGAGGTGTGTTTCTTGTGAGCAGAATATAGATGGCTTCTGGTTGTTTTGTTTTGTTTTGCTTTGTTTTGTTTTTATCCATTCAACCCATCTGTGTCTTTTAATGGGTGAGTTTAATCCATTAACATTCAACATTATTATTGATATTTGTAGACTTATCCCTGTCATTTTGCTGGCCATTTTCTCAGTTGTTTTTTGTTCTCCTGTTTCTGTTTGTCTCTCTTTAGTTATCTTGATATGACACTCCCCTCAGTATTTCCTACAGAGCTGGTCTAGTATTGGTGAATTCTCCCAGTTTTGTTTATCTGAGAATACATTTATTTGTTCTTCTCATTTGAAGGATAATCTTGCTGGATATAATATTCTCACTTGAAATTGTTTTTCTTTTAATGTTTTTAATAAAACTTTCCATTTTTTCCTCGCCTGCATTATTTCAGATGAGAGTTCTTATGTTAGCCTAATGGGATAAACTTTATAAGTAACTTGACATGTTTCCCTTGCCATTTTTAGAATATTGTCTTCGTCTTTAATTTTTAGTAATACGGCTATGATGTGCCAGAGTGAGGATCCTTTTGTGTTGATTCTATTTGGGGTCTTTTTTATTTCTTGGGTCTGAATTTCTCCCTATTTCTCTATAGTTGGAAAATTTTTCAGGCAGTATTTCATGAAAGAGGTTTTTTATGCCTTTAGCATATTCTACACCTTTGGATTACCCATCATGCGGATATTTGTGTGTTTCATGGTCTAGAATTTCCTGTATGTTGGCTTCATTTTTTTTTTTTGTTATTTTGTCATTCTTTTTGGTGATTTAGTCTATGCCTGAGCTTTTGTCTTCAAAGTCACAAATTCTTTCTTTCACATGGTCCAACCTACTGTTAATGCTTTCTAGGGAGATTTTAATTTCTTGTATTGTATTATTGTACTTTTCATTTCCAGAAGATTTATTTAATTCTTTCTTAGGGTGCCTATTTCTTTATAAAATTTCTCTTTGATGTCCTGAAATGAGTTTCTCATTTGCTAGAACCGATTGCCTGTTTTCTCTTGCAACTCATTGATTTTTGTCTCTATGAATATTCACAATTCTTTTTCTGACAATTCTGTGTATTTTTCCATGCTATTCATTGTTGGCGATGGGCTATTACGCTCACCTAAGGAAGAGTTACCCCCTTGTTTTCTCATGTTTCTTTGATATCTGTGCTGTGTTTTGGTCATCTGATGCAGTATTAACTTTTTTTCTACTTATTGGAGTAGATTTTGTAGTATTGGAGGAAGAAATTTCACCCTTAGTTGCCAAATGTGTTCCTATTGGAGAGCTGTGTCTCTCAGGTCAGAACAGTTAAAGGTAACTTCAGGTGCTTGGCTTCTATACCAAGAATCTCTTGATGAGGTGGTAGAAAACTAAGGAGGTATAACTTAGTGAAGAGGATCAAGTCCTGGTGTTTCAAAGTTACTCTCAGGCCCAGAGGTTGAAGTCATAAGAGGAGTCCTTCCCAGACCAGACTCAAGTCTCCTGGTGGGCACAGTGAGCCCAAGTCTTCAGAGTGGTGGGCGGTGGAATGGCAAAAGTTCCAAAGTTACCCCCAGGCTCCGAGTGTGGACTCACTCAATGAGGCCTGCTCAGACCAGGCTCAAGTCTCCTGGCAAGCTGGGCAAACCCAGGCCACCAGAGTGGTGGACGATGGAGTGTTGAAAGTTCCAAAGTTACTCTCAGGCTCTGAGTGTGGACTCATTTGAGGAGGCCTGCCCAGACCAGAATCAAGTCTCCCAAGGGGCAGGGCGAACTCAGGCTGCCAGAATAGTGGGTGATGGAGTGGCAAATAATTTTCAATAATGGAAACATGACCATTTAGGAATGGCTACCACAGTTAACATCAATTGCATAAATGGTTAAGTTGGTTAACACAAATTTCATGTTATATATATTTTGTCATGAAAACTTTTTAATATAAATATGTACAGGAGACCCGAACTTCACTGAAACATAATGTATATTTGTATATATACACTGATTTATATTGACAGAAGCAGGAGTAGAGTTGTCAAATAACACATTTCAAACTGTTAATACTGATTATTTCTTTAGTACCAGTTTTGGAAGGGATGTTTGTGTGTTCCAGAGGAAAAAAGGAAATTAATTTTCCTTTACATATCTCTGTCCTATTTGACTTGATACAACGTGTATTCATTACAAGTACAGATTTTTTACTTAACAGAGTCAGAAAACAATCTACAAGTCAAAGTCATTAAAGGTTTCACTTGGTAATTCGTACCTTAATGACTGAAGGCATGAATACGAGTTTGGAGCTTTCAAAAATCCTGTAACTTGCACAAACTAATCACAGAAAGACCTACTTGGTTTAATGTTGATGAATCAGATGACAGTTCATGTTTTTATGACACTTACATTAGTCCTTCCAAGTCTGGAGACACTGTTTACTAAATCATGATCATGACTGAAGGAGCACTTAGGAAGAAATGTTCAGTGTAGATAAACTTTGTCTAAAGGTTATTGAAGGATAAGTATGACAGAGTGAGCCAGCGGAATGTTTGGCTGATGGCTAGTCTGTCTGTCATGTGACTTGCATAAAGAGGTACTGCTGTGATTGGTTTCTACAGTGAGCCTCGCTTAGTTCAGAGGGCAAATAAGAAACATAATGATACTTAATTGAACAATGCCCTAAGAAGGCCACTGAAATGCTATTTATAACTTTCTAAACAACTCAGGTATGAGCCAATCAGAAACCGATGGGAAATGACATCAAAGAAAGATGCTAAATTTTAGATAAATATGCAGCTCTAGGGAATATATAAAAGGCCAAATGCAAAAGGTGCAGTCAAAACTCAGAAAACATCTCTTAACAAATCACCTCTCAACCTACCTCCTGCACCATGGCCTGCTGCAACACTAGCTTCTGTGGGTTTCCCATCTGCTCCAATGGCGGGACCTGTGGCTCCAGCTGCTGCCAGCCTACCTGCTGCCAGACCAGCTGCTGCCAGCCAAGCTGCTGTGGAACCAGCTGTGGCAGTGGCTGGGGGTTTGGGGGTGGCCATGGGGGGAGCGGGTGGGA